ATCTATCTATCTATCTATCTATCATCTATCTATCATCTATCTATCTATCTATCTATCTATCTATCTATCTATCTATCAATCTATCATCTATCTATTGATCTATTATCTATTGATTGATGGATCTATCTATCATCTATCTATCTATCTATCTATCATCTATCTATTTACCAGTCATTCGTCTCACTGATTACATTTCATGCTTCTTGTATTTTGTTGAAGACTTGAGACTGGATAATCATCAGGAGGTCTGTGGGGCAGTGGGCTATGAGAAAGCCAGAAAGCTTGGTAGAAATCTTCGAAGCCCCGGAAACCTCGGCCTGGAAAGGGTCACAGGACGGGAGGTTGCTTCAGAATTCCCACGCTGATGGCCCTCTTAGCTTCCACTTCCCACAAAGAGACCCGTGACTCTTATCACGTAGGATAGCACCTCCATGCAAATAAGGCATCCTCAAACACCCAAGCCAAACCAATAGGGGCTACCTGTTCTTTCCCCGAAACTGTATATATATAATTCCAGAGCTCACATTAAACTACTACTGCTGTGTGGTGCAAGGTCTCCTGCTGTCGGAGTGTTTTCGCGTTCCCTCGCCAGTCGCCAGTCGCGCACTTCAAAGGACAACGCTCTCCTCTCCCCTTAGCGGAAGAGCAAGCTGAACTAAAAGAGCTGAGACACTTTTCTTCCGTGGGCTCTCATGAGCGACTCCCGGAAAGAGAGAATTAAAAGAGCTGATAACACTTTCTCGATTTCGGGGGCTGGGACGGAGGTCCCGCTCCGGTTTTCGGGCGACCAGAGGCCGCTGTGGAGCGAGCCCTGCCCCGTCGGCTGCTGAAGGCCCTGGGCCGGCTCCGCTGGTTCCTTCCACGCCCCCGACCCCAGAGGCCGCTTGCCCACCCCTGCTGGCCCGGCCTGGAGCTGACGCCAGCCGCCGCCGCCGCCGACCCCGGTATCCTGCAGCGGTCCCGTCAGCCCGCGATCCCTAGGCGCGAGCACTGCACCACAGAGGTCCATCCCTGAAGAAAACTGACTGTCCTTTTCTCAGGAGCCACTGACTATCTCTAGCTGTTCACATAGGGTTGTGACTTTGTGAAGTTTCTTCTGTCCATGTTGCATGCCTACTGGTGTCAATTATGGTACAGGTCTTGTTTGGGCAACCCAGAGTGATGGAGCACTGACTACACTGTGCTCAGAATCAGTTCTTTTCTGGAATAAAATCTGTACCCGAACTTCCCAGGTCCATGAGTCAATAAAATCACTTTTGGCTTGAATGAATTTGAACAGTTTCATGACTAACTTCATTATTGACCCTTTGAAATCAAGACTCTAAATTCAGGATGACTGTCACTGTTTTGCAGAATCATATCCAAGCCACCCTACCCTCTGCTGTTCGAGTCTTTTGTGGTGAGTCTCACTGAGATGAACAGTACTATTTTAGAGACAGCTGGTCATTCATGGGACTCAGGTGTGGGGTTTTGATACTCTCCCTTTTAGAATTCCAGTTTGAGAACAAAAATCTAAGGACCTTTGAGATTCATGAATCTGGAGTCAAGTCTAGTGATGGAATACATTTGTTTCAGTCTGTTTGGCTGCTTTTTAGAAACAGATCCCTCAGTGTTTCTGGCTTTTCCCAGAGGGGTACTTTATCATGGTCTTTCTGGACTGGGTAAACAATGAAGTCATTCCATAAGGTTTTACTCAGGGTTGGAGAAAGGGACTCATTCAATCATTATTTTTGGGAAAGCATAGGATAGAATGGTTAAATTTAGAGGTTCTAGAATCAGGTCCATGTCTTGGTTTTATATTTTACAATCATGTGACTTCTTTGAACTCAGTTTTCTTTACCTATAATTCAGGAGAAATAATTTAATTCATTTAAAGGGTCATTGTAAGAGTCAGATATGATTACACAAACAGTAAGCTCTTATAAGAGTCACCCTCTGTTATTATTAGTTGGCTTTGCACTACATGCCTAAACATTATACACCCTGAAAGTAGTGCTATTGGAGTTTTGTCTAGGTTGGCAGCATGTGTGTTTTTGATTTGCTAAGAATTCAGTTCAGACCATTAGGAGGATGGACAGAGTGTCTTTGAAGAAATTATTTATGAATATCGATTTCCCTAATTGACCTTTGATAACCATTTAGAAGCATAAGAGTTAGGGAAATACATCCTTAGGCAAAAATGTGAGTGCAGATAATTCTCCATTGTCCTATTAGGGCAGATCCATACAGCCTGACACTCAGCTAAGAGGGAGAGAGGGTTGATGCTCTTTTCTAGTTAACGAATCTAACCAGGAGATATGTCTTAATTATAGTAGACTGTCCCAACTCCTCAGGGATGTGGGATGAGCTAATATGTTCTTCAGAATTCAATTATGGGTACCTTGATACACACAGTCTAGTTGAGAGCCTCTGGGCCTGATGATTTTATCCAGGGAAATTTTCAGAGGTAGCATTTATATCTGGCGTGGATTAAAAATTGTTAATAAATATTTCTATAGTGCTTCAATTTAAGCAATTTACCTTTCTGGTGGATACTTTGATGTAATTGTCTTAGAAAATGTATTCCTAGGTACCTGGTGAATTTTCATAATATATGAAGTTGTTAGAATCTCTAATAGAACAATATCTGCTGAGGATGATTTTGGTTTGGGAATGTTGGTGCTGTTACTTTTATTTTTTTTGTAAGTGGATAATACCAATCTTCCATGGTGGTTACTCTAGGTGATATCAGTAATGCTGTGTCATTGCACTGGGCTTTCCAGGGATCATGCATTAAGCTTATTCAGGAGCATGAAAGTACAAGTTCAAAAGCAGAGAGCCCCGCTCTACTTAAACCCTGATATTAAAACTAGGCAATGGCTAAGAAGATAGCTCAGTTGGTAAAGCACTTGTCTTGCAAGACTGAGGACCTGAGTTCGATACCCAGAGCCTACACAAAGTTGCTAGGCATGGTGGTCCATATTTGTAGTCCCAACACTTGGGAGGTAGGAACAAGAGGATCACAGAGGCTAAATGGCCAGCCAGTCTGATCTAAGTTGGTAAGCTAGATTAATGGGAGACTCTGTTTCAAAATACATGTTCCTGATGATGATCCTGAGATTGTTTTCTGACTTCTACACACATGTGTGAACATGTACACACACAACTGCACACACAGATAAGCCTGCATACACATAGATATGCATGCACATATGCATGAACACTTAATATCAAGGCAAAATATTATGCCTTATTTACAAGAAATTACAAGAAAGTAAGTTAAGTGGATTTATTTATTTGTTTTTTTCCTACAGAAAATGGAGACTTCTAGTTCTAATCTTCAGGCAAGGCCTGAAGAGACATCGTATGTAATTCATTTATAGGCTAAATCCAGAAGATTGAGCAATAGCACAGGTTAGAGCACTCAAAGGATGGTTAACTATGCACACAACTTTCTTTTATAATTGAAAATTGACTTTTGGTACAAAGGTTAGGCCTAACCCTCGCCCAAATGGCAGCATCTAAGCAGTAGATGCAACATGGTGCTGTACTGTCAGGAGCCAACATAGGAGAAGCTCAAAACTAGCAGGTGAACTTCCCGATACAGTCCAGAAGCCTGGCATATCCCTGTGTCAGATAGAAATACTTTGTCACTGCTTATGAAAGAGACTTTGCATGTTTCTCCAATAAGAACCATTATGACAATGTCAGTTAAGACTGGATTTATGTAGGTTCAGGTGACTGTATGGGGACCCATCTCTTTGGTAAGATCTGGTGTATCTTGAGCCTGGCAGAGGGACTACAGATCTTCGCAAAGGTGGAGATATTGTCTGACAGACATAGATTTGTAATGCAAATTGACAAAGTAAGGAGAATATTAAATTTGTGAATCTTTGCTCTGTTTTTTTTTCTATTTCCAATTTTATTGTGTTGCAGCAAAACAAAGCTTAGCACAAAGAAAGCAAATCAAAAAACCAAAACATCACCCACAACAAGTTTTAAAAATAGTTTTGGTCCCTAGAATCCCCTGAAAAGAAGAGAAGTGATGCTTTGATTTCTAAGTAGCTCCATCCCAAGACAACTACCCTCTTGCCTCTGATAGGTTGGCCTGGTAACCTGCCAAGTTTGCCTCCCTTCAGTTTCCTGTGTCTATCTCATCTGTGGATATCTGTTCATTTCACCTGGACCAGAAAGTAAGGTAAGTGGGTTCATTTGTTTTTCCTACAGAAAATGGAGATTCCTAGTTTAATTTCCCTGGATTCCTGGACCAGTGATACACTGTAGTCTACTAACAAGAAAATCATTACCTCTGGGGTGTTGATCATGTGTGCAGACTCATTGACTTGGGAACTGTTAGGCCAGACTCTATGCCCAGTGTTCTTACAGAACTAGTCTTATCTGGTGGGCATTCTTAGATCCCAATAAGTTTCAAGGCAAGTGGCTGTATTTAAAGATGGATCTAGAACAGATAGACTCAGGGAATCCTCCTGGACCAGTTTTGGTGCATGTTCCATGTCATATAAACACAAATAAGTGAACCCATAATGTCTCATCAAGGTTCTGAGGGTGCCAGCTGCCTTATCACAGGGAAGATCCATCATACTATTTTAAAACACCCTATACCTTTTCTTAAAAATTTATTTATTTTTATCTTATGTACATCGGTGTTTTGATTGCATATAACTGTAGTTTCAGACAGTT